CCCTCCATCTGCTTCTTCTCCTCTCCTGAGACCAGAGATAAAGCAGATGGCTCCGTTACACACACAAACGCGCGCCGGCAGTGGCTCTCACCGGGGCAGCTGACTTGTGCATTCCCGAGATCAAGGCCCAATCCCTCTCTGCAGGGAGCTGTTTTAAAAAGGAGAGTCCTTGCCCAGAGCAGCAGACAATGGAAACTGAGTCAGCTGTCATGGCAAATCTGGGTAACTCGGCATCCTGGCACTAGGAGCATTTAAAGCAGAGGTAGGAAATGGTGGGGGGCCGCTGACCCACAGAAAAATCAGGGGGTTGCATAAAAGTGGGGGGGAAACTCAATGACATGGCCCCCAAATGAGAAGAAGAAAGATGCTCCCCACATTCCTCTTGCTCATCAGAGCCTAGGGGAACCCAGGCTAGTAGACTGTGTGCGCTTTAGGGATGTTAAATTTCAATTAACTAACTAATGGAATGGTCAATGGCATTTCCATCGGCTATTCGATTAGTTGATAAAGACGCCTCCAGCTTTGAACTGTAGCAAGAGCCCTGCCAGCGGAAGCCGGTGTCCAGCAGGGCTACATTTCAAAAGCAGAATCACGGGAGAAGCGGCGCAGTGGAGACTGTTTCAGCCCCTGCTCGTGCTGTTTCCCACTGTGCCTCTCTCTCTCCTGCGCCCTATGGAGACAGTGCTGGGGAGAACCGGCTTTTAAAAGCCCTGCCCCCCAGCACCAGCTCCTGCTCCCCCCCTTGCTGCCTCTCTCTGATAGAGACAGAAAGCGGCAGAAGCAACTAGTCACATCACTAGTCGACTATCCGATACGCTTATGCTTACATCCCTAGGGTGGGGGGGATGGAGCATCAGCGTGGGCTCCCCAATGCTAGTTGGGAGCCCTGAGCCTCTGAAGCTGAATCCAGGCAAGCCAGGGGCTATCTCCAGCCCTGGGGCCTCAAGTTCCTCATCCCTGATGAAAGAGGCATATTTGCAGGTGGTTGGACTAGAAGGCTATGGCATGGAATGAACAGACACAGTGTAACAGCAACGGCTGGGGCCTGGCAGGAGGTCCTAGCCAGGAAAGCAGGAGGATGCTGCCAACTGTGACAGAGAATGGGGGAAGGTTCCGCACAGAGATGGCAACGTGGCCGGGGACTGTCAGTCCTTGAGGCTGCTGGGAGCCCCACGCTAGACCGTCCCAATGGGAAATTGCTCCTCGCTGGGGCTCACCGTGTCCCCGCGGAACACCTTCCACTCCTCCTTGCTGATGGGCTCCACAAACACCTTCTTGCGCCTCTTCCCCGGGGGGTTGTGGGCCTTGGCCGCAGCTGTCCAGGGCCGGTAGACACCGTGGCGATAGTCCGGGGGCAGCTTCATCCTGGCCGCCATGGCGAGCAGCACAGTCAGACGCATGGTCCTGCCAGGCGAGGGCAGTCACGGACCCCCAGATCCAGCAACGGCCAGGCCTGAGGTCACCAAGCAAATCAGTGTCAGAGTTAAGCAAGAGCACCCCAGGTGTCCTCCCTCCCGGTCTCCTCTTCTGCCCCATATTTCTTTGCTCCACTCCCCTCCCTGAGCCAGGGAAGGAACCCAGGAGTCCTGGCTGGTCTATGCTGCTGTGTGTATGTTGCCCCAGCAATAGAGCATGGAGGGGAGGAGAGATTTTAAGAGAGGCATCAGCAAGGCGCTAATTTTCCCTAGGGGGGTTTCCAGCCTTTGCTCCCCACTCGCAGCAGAACTTAGGAGCCCTGCTTGGTGCACCCCCCATCACACCACTGCAGCTGCCCCACGGCCCCTGCATGCAACCCAAGCCAGCCCTTGGAGAGAGATGCCCCCTGCTCACCTCGGTCCCCGCAACCCCCAACCCCTCCAGCACAGGTTTGCAGTTGCAAGGCGCTTGCAGACGCATGTGTCTTTGGAGGACGAGGCGCAAGGCCCCCTGGGACTTGTAGTCCCGCGGTGTAGCTTGATCGCGATGCACCCTGGGATTCGCCGTCCTCGTGCTGCAGCGTTGCATTCTGGGATTGGTAGTCCTAGCCCTGTTGCAATCCTACATTCCGGCCTCTGTCCGGTTGCATGGCATGCTGGATCTGGGGGCGGCCTCTCCTCCACCTCCCCCCGCCTCCCTCGATCTTCTTGCATTGCATTCTGGGTTAGGCTGCTCCTCCCTCCTTGCCCTATTGCATGGCATTCTGGGTATTGCAGGCTATTCTCCCCCCCTTATGCTGCATGGCATTCTGGGTATTGCGGCGTCCTCTCCTCCCCCAATCATCTCCTGTTGCATTGCATTCCGGGTTTCAGCTTCTCTTGTTGCGCTGCATTGCATTCTGGGTATTGCACCCCCTCCGTCCCGTTGCATTGCATTGCGGGTTTTACAGCTGCTCCCGCCTTCTCTTGCTGCATTGCATTCTGGGTATTGCACCCCCTCCGTCCCGTTGCATTGCATTGCGGGTTTTACAGCTGCTCCCGCCTTCTCTTGCTGCATTGCATTCTGGGTATTGCACCCCCTCCGTCCCGTTGCATTGCATTGCGGGTTTTACAGCTGCTCCCGCCTTCTCTTGCTGCATTGCATTCTGGGTATTGCACCCCCTCCGTCCCGTTGCATTGCATTGCGGGTTTTACAGCTGCTCCCGCCTTCTCTTGCTGCATTGCATTCTGGGTATTGCACCCCCTCCGTCCCGTTGCATTGCATTGCGGGTTTTACAGCTGCTCCCGCCTTCTCTTGCTGCATTGCATTCTGGGTATTGCACCCCCTCCGTCCCGTTGCATTGCATTGCGGGTTTTACAGCTGCTCCCGCCTTCTCTTGCTGCATTGCATTCTGGGTATTGCACCTCCCCACCCCCAGTCCTGTGTCATTACATTCAGGGAGCTACCAGGCAGGCAGCTAGGGAAACATGGACAGAGAGCTGGGGGCAGCTAGAGTCAGCATCTAGCTCCCAGTTCCCTGCAAGGGGCAGCAACAGATGTTCTTCAGAGAAGGACACGTGTATCATGGAATAGACTGTAACCAATTGCCTTAATTTTCCAGCAAGCAAAAAAGTCGAATACTGAAAAGTTTGGTTGGGAAGCAAAAAACTATCCCAGTGTTTGTCTTTTTGACATACTCAAATATTTCCATGGAAATAGACCCTTTTGGGGGGGAAGAAAAAATAAGTAGCTTATCAGTCCCCCCAATGTTTTTTCCCACCAGTATTTTAATGGAGACTTTTGGACCAGCCCTACTGGCCAGCGTTGTGCCAGCCACAGACCTGACGTATTTTGTCCCCGTCACACAAATCATCACATCCTAGAAATGTCAGGCAGGAAGGGTCCCGAAGTGGTCGTCACCTCCTGCCCTGGCAGCGAAACAGAACCAAGTAAACCTAGGTCATTCCTGACAGATGTTGGTCCAGCCTGTGCTTAACATTTTTTCCAGTGATCGGGACTCCACAACCTCCCTTGGCCACCTTCTCCAGATAGGGTGACCAGATAGCAAGTGTGACACATCAGGACGGGGTGGGGGGTATAGTCGCCTACATAAGACAAAGCCTCAAATATCAGGACAGTCCCTATAAAACTAGGACAGTTGGACACCCTTACTTCCAAAGCTTCGCTGCCCTGATGAAGGTCTTCTCAGGGCTGCCGATGGGGGAAGGTGTAAAGAGGCCACAGGAGCCCCAAGTCCTTCTAAAAAGTGGAGCTGCAGGCTGCTACCACAGCAGCAGTAGCCAGGGTCTGCCCGAGGCGGGCTGCGGCAGCTGGCGCCCCAGGCGGAACATGCAATCGGCGCCCCTGCCTGTACGGCCGTGACGTCATCATTGGGCGCCCCGTTGAAGTCGGCCTATGCTCACCGGCTGCCCCTGGCAGTAGCCCTTTAAAACTCTGATGGACCTTCAGACAGTGCTGAGGACTAGCTAAGGAAGACTAACCTCTAGCCCCACCCCTTCAGCCTGAGGCCCTGCCTTTCTGGGAGCTCTGGAGCCAATCCCCCCGCCCCCCACACACATGCACACGTTGCCCAGGGCCCAGCAAAGTCTGTTGCCAGCTTTAATTCTTCCAATATCCAGAGCCAGCACCCTGGGCAAACTTGTGTTTTGGTGCCCTGACCCTTGTGGGCATAGCATGCCCTATTTCCCCTGGGCTCCCCACCTGCTGCACCCCTCCTGCGCCCCCTTTCACCATTAACCCCTGCATTGTGCATCTTTGCCCCCAGCCTCTGCACAATGCCCAACCCCTGCACTTTGCTTCCACCGGTGCCCCCAACCCGCAGCCCTGCGCTTCCAGCATGTCCTGCCATAATGCCCCCCGCCCAGCTCCCTCCACCCTCTTTACCCAGCACCATCCATGCCCAGTTGCCCTCCACCCTGGGCCTGGGCCCAGTTTGCCCATCCCCAAGACCAGCCCTGTCAATATCTAACCTAAATCTCCCTTGTGAGGCAGGCTTGGCTCATTTTATACATCAACAGCTTTTGCCAAACCCATCGCCTTTCAGAACAGAGTTTCTAGAGAAGCCATGCACGGATACTACAGAAAACCAGTTTCACATCACTAGCTATAGAACGCTCTAGAGCTGGGACTGACACTTTTAGTATGGGCCTGTCCAGCGTCTGGCACAACTGGGCCCCACTTCTGCCCAGGACCTCAGGAGGACGTGCTCTAATTACACCACGTATCCCATGTATTTTTGTTCCATGCTGACCACGTTACTGCACGCTGCAGCTTTGCATTCTGGTCACTACGTGCCTCGGTGCCTACGGCGTGGCCACCGTGCACACCAGGAGCCTTACAAATCAAGCCTGTGCATCAGCCGCTGGAGCGCTGCTGGGCTTATTGCTGCCCTGATCTCCAGGCACCTGACCCACGGAGGCCAAAGTAGCTCTTGTGCCAGCCAGAGCCCCAGCGGGGGGCTGGACTCATGCTTTCACTGCAGCGTGGCAGAGGCACGTTGTGCAGCCTAGCAGGCCCACCATTCAAATGCACAGGAAACAGGGAAGGGGACCAGCTCTGCCCCACCCCTGCTTAGTCCTCATCTCCCTGCATCCGATGCAAGCCAGCCACAGGGATGACCGCACATGCTCAGAAGAGACTCAGGGGGCATGCTGGGAAGTGTAGTTTGCTGGAAGCACTTGGCAAGGCTCCAGCTTTTCTCCATTTTCTATTCAAGCTCTCACGCCAGAGCGCTGCCATCCTGAGTCCCAGGGCAGGGCAGGGCTGAGACCTCTGCTGTGCTCTGTTCCTGAACATCCTTGCAGCTCAGGGCAAGTGCTCAAAAGCAGAAAGGTGGCACATTTTCAGCCAGACTTCCAACACCTCCAGCTCCCCCAGCCTGCTTGTGCCTGCCTCTTTCTTAGCAGTACTGCTGGGCGTGCAGCTTTTTGCAGACAGGCCTGGGGCCCCTTGCAGGGCAGAATCTAAGCAAAGGAGACAAGGCAGGTTGCAGGCACCATGCCCCAGGTCATAGGGGCAGGCAGGCAGGGGAGTTCTTCAGCGTTTCCTTTGCATTACAGGAGCATCGAGAAACCCCACCTGAGATGCCCAGCCCCTTTGTACCAACCGCCGCACAGACACCAGTCCCGGGCGGGGAGACTAGGAGAGAGATAAGCGACTTGCCTACAGCTGCACTAGGCATCTATGGTGATCTCTGGAACTAAACCCAGTTTTCCCTGCAGGTGCTTTAGCACTAAAACCACCCTTCATCCAGCTTTTCACACTGTTCTCAAAGCAGCTTACAGAAGCGTCACGCGCCCCCTTTAGAGATGGAGAAACTGAGGCCGCTCAGACAAGGTTGGGGGGGGGGGGATCTTGCCAGCCTGCCTGGGCTGAGTTGGACTGGCAGGATTTGGCGCTGGTCGAAAACCCACCTGTCTGACTCACGTGGCCGGAGTATTGTCAGGCTGCTCCCACACAGCTGGAGCCAGAGTTGCTCCGGGGGCTAGAGCTGGAGAGGCCAGGGCCCCACCTCCCCAACCCCCCATGCAGGCAGGGCCTGCCTGCCATGGTTGGCCATGAAGCCAGTTACCCAATAAGCATTCCAATAAGCCTAATGCTTACCAGGTAACGGGTGAAACGGTGAACCTTTTACATCCCTAGTTTAAATTATCTGGTACTGCTCAAAACAGAGATCTTAGAGTCCCCATGGATAAATCTCTGAAGACATCTGCTCCTTGTGCAGCAGAAGTCAAAACAGGCAACAGAGTGGTAGAAACGATTAGGAAAGAAATAGAAAATTAAGAGGAAACTAACATGTTTTTAGGTAGTGGCCTACATTTCTTTAAAAATCTGGTTCTTAGCCTCTTTGGACATTGGAGCCTCACCTACACAGTGGGAATAACAGCCCTGTCTTACCTCACAGAGGGCGATGAGGATAAATATTCAAAATTGTGACATGCTCAGATACAGGACAAGCTGTGTTATCCAGCACTTTAATACCCAGAAAACCCAGTTAACTGGCACCTGGCAATACAATTCCTCCTTCAATTAACCGGAAAAATTCCGATAGCCATCTGGCATCATTTTTCAACATTTTATGCGGAAGTGTCACAGAATACTAGCACTGGAAGGGACCTCGAGTACGGATGTTAGATATCGTGTAATTGGATCGTCGTGTGACCGCATGACATGTGACTGGGCTGGATGGACCTTTGGTCTGACCCAGTACGGCCGTTCTTATGTTCTTATGAAATCGTATCGGTTACACGACTGTTCGGCAGCTACTGTGCTCCGGACCCACTCCCAGGGAGCCCCCTACCACACCACACTGCTGCCTATCTATGTGAGGCAGCAGCGTGTGGTGCCAGACGGGTGCGAGGGAAGTCGGTTTAAAAACCAGCTGTCTGCCAAGAGGCAGCCGTGCAGGGTGGCAGCAGCCCCTGTCCACGGGTCGGAGTCAGAGCTCCCTGCGGACAGAAGCTGCTCCACCTCCTATAGTTATTCCAGTGTTTAACCACCCTGACAGGTAGGAAGTTTTTCCTAATGTCCAACCTAAACCTCCCTTGCTCCAATTTAAGCCCATTGCTTGTTGTCCTATCCTCAGAGGTCAAGGAGAACAATTTCCCCCCTCCTTGTAATACTCTTGTAAATTTGAGGTCAAGGAGAACAATTTCCCCCCTCCTTGTAATACTCTATTGTAAATTTGTGACAGTAAAGTTTGTTTTTATCATGCTGCTGCATATAATACCATCATCAGATATTATGGATAGCATATGGTGAAAAATTCATGACCCATCTAACACATCAAGCAACCAACACATCTGATTAACCAGCAACCCCTCCTATTCCTCATGAATACCAGATAATCAAGCTTGTACTGTATTCCAGTAATGGGGAACCAGGCTGGATCAGAAAGTAGGTAGGCACCATAGAGAAGTAGCTTCCGAAGACAGACGAAACAACAGGCAGAGAAATAAGTACAATGACCCACTGAAAGAATTCAAATCCATGGAGCCTCAAAACAACTGACAAATAACAGCCACTCTTATAATAATCAACATTTCTTTATTGTCCTAGAGAACTGAAATCATTGAAATTTTTTTTGGTGTTTTTTTCCCCTTTTGTACTATTCCAAAACTAAATTCAACAAGTCTTCATCACAGCCTCAAACAGAACCAAGGCAGGGTTGTTTTTCTTTTATTTTCCTCCATATATTACAAATTGGAATATGATTACATCACATAGCGAGAAAGACGGGCACACGAGAGACAGAGGAAAAGAGGAGATACCTGGGCTCAGGGACAGGTAGAAACATGAGTTTAAAAATAAGCCAGACTACCAAAAAAATATATATATATTCACTAAAACAATTACTTTTCCAGCTATTCATTGTCGTTTTGTTTTTAACAACTTTGAGTAAAAATGCCATCCTAAAATTTTTCCCTTTTTAAAAAATACTTTGATAAATATTCCCCAAAAGCAAGGATCAAAAAGCTGGACGTTAACTCCGCTACTTTTTTGAATTTCCCTTCTGATCCATAGCTGCATGCTGCATTGGAAAAATCCCAGACCTTCCACATTTCCGGCCCAGGTGCTGAATGAAGGTGTCTTACATCCCTTTGGAAATCTAGGCCCAGGTTGCCATGTGAACCATGAATGAGGCCTAATTCCCATTATTTTATGGGCAGATTCCCTGGGGTCAGAACTGGCAGCACCTGACATTCACATTCTGATTCTTAGTCATGTTCAGTGTGGCCGTTTGGAGCCATGAAAGAGGCAGAAATGGTTCTCTGAGAATCCAGCACTAAAGCGGGGAGCTGGCATGAAAGCAGCTCAGGAGTGTGATCCAAGTACACCACGCACTGGCTAGTCTGCTGCTCAGGACCCAACAGGGACACGGCTGCTCTAATTTAACCTGCAGGCTCAAAATTCCAACAAGGATTGTGTCAACATTTTAGAATTCCAGACGGAATTTTGACCAAGCTTAGTTGCAAAAGTTTCAGAACCGTCGCATGGGTGGCAATCATTGGCATCAAAAGCCACCGTGTAGCTGAGGAAATCTTTGTGTGTGTATCCTTTGCTTCCCTTCCCTCCAGACTGGTGAACCCAAGCGTCTTAAGTTCAAGGAAGATCTTAAGTTCTTAGATCTCTAACTGCACCCTCCTGTCTAATGAGTTTTGGTGACCTTTTAAAAAAAAAAAACCCTAATAGTTTTCCACCCATTACATTTCCAACTGAAAATCGCCAATCTGTCAATCAACTCTATAGCTGCTTGAAAAACAAGCAAAACTGCATGCAAGTGCTCTGCATTTTCCTCATTTCCCCCCTATTAATTCTGGAAATTTTGTGCCCAGCAGCAGTATAAGGAAACACCTAGATAAAACACAGCAAGATGCTGAAGTCTGTCTGCCCTCCTAGACCCAATTGGCCATGATAGCACAGATCAGACCGAACTAGGACCAACGGCAATCACAGGTCTCAGCTAATTCCAAACCACCAGGTGGATGCTAGAAGCGATAAAACACATTAGCAATTCAGTTGAAATATTTTTTTTAAAAGCCTAAAAATATTTTTTTTAAAGAAAGATGTTGCAATATCAGAGTGCGCACTTGGTTGATTTCCATGGGTTCACTCGTTACTTCCCCCAATATGAAAGCGGGAGGTGAAATGTGTAGTAAATCAAATGATTTCTGATCAGCTGAACAACTGGGAAACAAGGGTTTGTTCACTGTTGTCTAAAGAGGTTGAATCTACCACTGAAATCTACAGAATTGCACAAGGGACAGACTGTCTGGATTCTTGCGATCACAGACAGGGTGGAAATGGCAGATAAAACTCATCCATCTTCTTATAAACAAACATGACAAACCTCACCATCGCCTTTGCAGTTTTAAAAATGAATGTAATTCATAAGCTTGGGCCACATAGATCATTCCGCATTTCTCCACAAGGAAGAGTAGCTCATTGAGGAACTGGCTACTCTGGTAGTCTCAGCAATTGAGGGGTTAATGCCGACGGTTTTCAGAGACACCTGTCCACTGGCCCAAGCGTCACTGACCATCCCAAGCAGGCCATGAAATGGGGTAACCACACAGCATTGCAGTAGATCTAAAATGGAGCTCAGAGACATAGAGTTTCACAACTTATCACTAATCTGGCTGTATCTGTCTGAAATTTTTCTCCATCAAAACTGTTCTTTGACAGAAAGTTGGGTTTGCGAATAAATTCAATGTTTTACAGAAAGTTTTCTGTTTGCTGTGGAAATGTTGAATTTTTGTTTGCTGAAAAACTAAATGTCCCAAACCAGAAATATGTCGACTCACAAATGCTGTCACAGTGCATCATGGGAATCCCCCAGGGCTCTCATGGTGAACCGCTTCCCCTCTCCAAGATGGAAGATTATGGTGCATCATGGGAGATTCACACTGACCAGGGAACTTGGCTTGAACTACAATTCCCTTGCAACAGAATTTCCAAGTCAATTTTTTCCCATTTCTGGACATTTTTTTTGGGGGGGGGGATTGAAATTCTTCCTCCCCCTCTCCCCCCGCCTCGGCAAAAAATCTAAATTTTCCATGGGGAGAAGGAGGAAATTCAGTCAACTCAACCCCTGAGCCATTCAGTCCCACCCCAGCCAAACGACTCGTTGTGACACCGTGGAAGATGACCTGGTAAAACTGAATTGCACACGGGTAGCACTTCCTAGGTTCAAATTAGGATTGCAGCAGGGGAAGAGAGGTTGTTCTTAGAATAATGATGCCTTGGGAAACTCGGCACCGACAACAGAGCGTCACTCGCTTCAGAGTTGGAAGGGGAGACCTTGTGAAAAACACCTAAGACTGTTGGACGGGCAGGGGCATCAGAAAACAGCAGCTGGGGCAAAGCAAGATATTACGCTGCTGGGTCCCTGTTAAAGGGACTCATGCCCATTATCAGAGAGGAAGCAGGAGCAAAGGGGGAATCCAATTTGAGGAGCAGGGCATGCACAATAGGCCGGGGATCTCTGCAGTGCATACCCACAACAGCAAGAATCCCAAACCTGCACCTGCTCTTCTGGGATTCAGAATCAGAAACTGACCAGCGGGCTAGGATTCCCATTTACACTAAGGCTCACTGTTCCAGCAGTGCAAAGGGGTCTTCGTGCCCACTTTAAAGCCCTTTTAACACTGATTGTGCAGCATCATGGGACCTTAGTGTAAATGTGACTGACTTTATCGGACATCAGGGAAACGCCCTGAAAACAAAAGTATCCAGTTATTCTGGAAAGAGACCAACTCCTTCAGGGAGGTCCCCCGCTTCCTTGCTTTCCCGAGCTCACCCGACTTTACACCCTTGAGAAAGCCCCCCTGACGAGAAAGCAATCCGTCGGAAGTGATGGGAAACATTTTAAAAAGGCATGAAATCGCTTTTATTTCAAATCAACTGATCAGCGCCCCTTAGAAATCACTATTACAAGCATGCGCCCTGCTACGGGTGGGCGGGGAGAGACGGGATGGTTCGAGTTACTGGTTTCTTCTTACTTCTTTTTTTTCCCGAATTGCAGATGCGACGAGCCGATGAGGAACGAAACTGTTTAGCACCCAGGGAGCCCAGCAGGGAAGGAACAGCCCAGACGATCAGATCAGCTCGGGCAGGCCGGCCAGCTACAGACTGCAGGAATGGAGAGGGAACAGGGAAGGCTGACGGACGATGAACGTTACGGCGGCAGCCATCAGGATCGGGGCCAGGAGGCAGATAACAGGGGTGGCGCTCCTGCAAACCGCTCTGTGGAGCTCTCCCATCCGAGGAGCACCCAAGCCTGGCCCTACTGAGCTGGCAGGATCCCAACACATGGGCAGATGCCTTGTTTTCCTTCCCGTCCTCCCCCATTTCTTACCAGCCCCTCCCCCTGAAGCCACTGGGCAAAGTCCGGCTGATTTCCATGTGACCTGCACCAGGCCCTGTTTGTGAGGGAACCTGACCCCTAGCCTTCCCTCCCCCTCCCTAAGTAGGGCTGACGTGCCGGGCCCCACCCTCCTTCAGTCCCTACCTCTCCTTGTGACCTCTGATCTCCTCCGCGGCGGCTTTCTCCTTCCCCTCTTGCTTGGCCTCTCTCGAATCCGGGACTCCGGTGGGGTCGCTGTTCTTCTCCCCTTCGGGGGGGCTGGCCTTCTGCTTCTCTCCCTCTTTGGGGGCTTCTTCATTCTCCACTTTCTTCTCCCCTTCTTTGCCCTCCGCCTCTTTGGCGCGTTTAGGGGAGTCCTGCCAATGGGAAAGGATCAACTGGGATCGCCGGTGAGCGCACTCCTGAACTGCCTATGAGCGAGGTCCCTGTCTGCAGGCACAGATACCCCCCAACCATCAAGCAGCCCTGTTCCTTTGATCCCCTGTCTCAGGGATAGGACGTGGGCTTTATTCCCTGGGCTCTGAATTCATAGAATCCTAAAACTATGGAAGGAACCTCGAGAGGTCATCGAGTCCAACTCCCCTGCCCTCATGGCAGGACCAAGCACCATCTAGATCATGGGTTCCCAAACTGGGGGGGGGGGGCGGGGAAGAATTCTATGGGGGCCAGTCCCCCCACCCCCAAGAAAGAGCCTGGTTCATCAGTCTGCTTGGCCACCTTAAAAGGGCAATGCCTGCTCTGCTCTTAAAAGGGCAATCTTTTTTTTTTTTTGGCTCAATAAGTTTTGCTGCTATTTGGGGGGGGGAGGCGTGAGGGTTTCTCAAAAATCAAAAAGCGGGCGTGATGCAAAAAGTTTGGGAACCACTGGTCTAGATCATCCCTGACAGGTGTGTCTCTAACATGCTCTTAACTATCTCCAGGGATGGAGATCCCACAACCTCCCTAGGCAATTTATTCCAGTGTTTCACCACCCTGACAGGAAGTTTTTCCTCATGTCCAACCTAAACCTCCCTTACTTCAATTTAAGCTCATTGTTTGTTATTCTATCATCAGAGGCCAAGGTGGTTCGCCCTGTAACAACCTTTTAGATACCTGAAAGCTGTTATGTCCCCTCTCAGTTTTCTCTTTTCTAGGGATGTAAGCAATAGTCAGCTATTCAACTACCTGATAAACTTATGCTTATCAGGTAGTCGAGTGCAAGACTTGACTACTCACTTCCCCTATCCTTGCTGCCTCCCTCCCACCCACCCCCACTGCCTCTATCAGGGGGTGGGGGAGGAGAGGGGAGGCAAAGCAGCCTCTGCCTGCAGCCAGCCCAGGGCCACCATGAACTGGAGCTGTTAGACCCGGCATGAGCTGGGTCCAAGCAGTCCTGGCTCGAGCCAGCTCCAGGACTGCCGCATCTCTGCATTTGAAATGTAAGAGCTACCCCCGCTGCGGCTCTGCAGAGCGGCCCTTATCGCCTAATTGCGTAGTCGATTCAAATTGTCGCGACTGCATGATTAGCCAAATAACTGCTCTCTAACACCCTTACTCTTTTCTAGATAAACAAAGCCAGTTCTTTCAGTCTTCCATGTTTTCTAGACCGTTAATCATTTTTGTCGCTCTTCTCTGGACCCTCTCCAATTTCTCCACATCTTTCTTGAAATGTGGTGCCCAGAACTGGACACAATACTCCAGTTGAGGCCTAATCAGCGCAGAGTAGAGCGGAAGAAGGACTTCTCCTGTCTTGCTCATGTTGGGTTTTTTTGCAACAGTGTCACACTGTTGACTCCTATTTAGCTTGTGGTCCACTCTGACCCCTAGATCCCTTTCTGCAGGACTCCTTCCTAGACAGTCGCGTCCCATTCTGTCTCTGACACACAGATTGTTCCTCCCTAAGCGGAGGACTTTGCATTTGTCCTTGTTGAACTTCATCCTACTGACCTCAGACCATTTCTCCAGTGCGTTTCTCCCTCTCCTCCCTCATTCAAGAAAACACTGTCACCCATGCTCTGGTCCGCCTCTGAGCTATAGCCCTCTCTCGCCCTCCAAAATCCTACCTCCAAGGCATCTTCCGCTTTCCTCTTGATCCCAGCCTTCTCGTTCTTCTCCTTGGTTTGCTCGTCGATCACCAGCTTGCCCTCCTCGTCGCTGCTGCCCTCCGCGTTGCCTTTCTTCTCGCCGTCGCCCTCCGGCTCCCGCTCAGGCTCTGCATCCTCTGGGCAGCTCTTCTTCTGGGTCGGCTGCTGGAGGGCACGGGGGAGGGAGGAAAGATGGACAGACAGGTGGAGGAGGAGCAAAGGGGGACACATAGTTATTGCATGACCGATGCCCTGTCTCTGCCCCTCATTCCCCACGGCAGGTCTTGAGGGTCAGAGAGGGTTCGATACAGCCTATTTCTTCCCCCATGGCTCAGAAATGCTATTCCTGGCAAGCATCTGAACACACTCCCTTGGAAAGGCACCAAGCAGTCAGCCAGCAGGTACAGCAGCCCAGATCGAGCGTCCCCCTCCGTGCCTCGGTTTCCCCTTGGCAAGGAAATAGGGATAGGAAGAGTCTACTCCACAGCAACCACTTCCTCTCCACAATCACGGTTCTATAGCAGCAGGTGGACTCTCAAAGCCCTGCACGGCCACGGCCGAAGGACCCCCAGAGAGCTGCAGCCACTTCTGGGGCAGAGCATGACAACCGCTCGTGAGAAAGGAAGCAGAAGATACTTGCGCATTCGGTTTAAACTGCAGGGGGAACTTAGGGAGGCAGGACTGAACATGCAGATTTTGGGCCAGGACTCAGGCAAACACCCCCAACCCCTATGATAAGATAGATCTTGAATGACCATAAGCCCATGCGTTTAGCCATCCTCCAGAATATGGTGCCTCCCAGAAGGAGGTACTGCCTTGCGCAGAAGAGAACTCCCCTGTGTCAATACCCCCATCCAACGTGCCAGGGTGGCTAGAAATTTCTTAGAGGTCTCCCATCCACAGCCCAGACAAACCAGTCCTTGCTTAGCTAATAAGACCTGACAGCATCGCAGCGGAATGCAAGGCGGCTGCAGGCGCCTTGGGGGACTACTTTAGTGACGATGATGAGATGGCAAAGCAGAGCTGCTTTGCCCCACACATGCTGCCCCCTGTGGAGAAAATCCAGCCCTGACGCATCCGTGCCACAGAGGATTTTAGTGGGCGCGCTCGCCGAGCTAAGGGATGAAAGACACAGCGGGCTTCAGAGCAGCCCTGACCTATCTGACGAGGCAAAGAGGGCAGGCAGCGGGAGCCCACGTTTCAAGCACTGAATGAGGGCTCAAGGCATCTTTGTTATAGCCCCTCTTCTACCAATCGCGAGCAAGTAACCCCACCCCCCCCGCCGCTGTTGCCTCAGTTTCCTCTCCCACCCTTTGCCCCTGTGGTGTGTTCAGACTGTGTGAACACACAGCTTCTCCCACTGGCTTTCGGCTGAGGTCTCTAATTGTGTCATAATAATCGCAGAATCATAAGACTGGCAGGGATCTCGAGAGGGTATCAAGCCCAGTCCCCTGCCCTCACGACAGGATCAAGCACTTTCTAGTTCATCCCTGTCCAGTGTTTCTAACCTGCTCTTAAATATCTCCAGTGATGGAGATTCCACAAACTCCCTAGGTAATTTATTCCAGTGTTTAACCACCCTGACAGGCAGGAAATGTTTCCTAATGTCCAAACTAAACCTCCCTCGCTGCAGTTTAACTCCATTGCTTCTTGTCCTATCCTCGGAGGTCAAAGAGAACAATTTCTCCTTGTAACAGCCTTTTAGGTACTTGAAAGCTGCTATCATGTCCTCTCTCGGTCTTCTCTTTTCTAGACTAAACAACCCCAATCCTTTTAGTCTTCCCTCACAGGTCATGTTTTCTAGACCTTTGATCATTTTTGTTGCTCTTCTCTGGACCTTCTCTAATTTCTCCACATCTTTCTTGAAATGTGGTACCCAGAACTGGACACCTTATTCCAGTTGAGGCCTAATCAGTGCAGAGGAGAGCGGAAGAATAACTTCTCGTGTCTTGCTTACATCATTAATGAAGAGTAACAGATTAATCCTTGAGCCTGGAGTTGATCAAAGTTTTACTGCAGAGGGATATCACCCATCCCCAAGTGGCTTTTTGACAAAACCGAAATTTGTGTGAAAAAAATTCCACTTTGTCAAAATAAAATAAATAAATACATATTAATAATTATTATTATTTGGCTTTTCACTGAAAAACTGGAAACCAACATTCTTCTGTTTTAAATGGGAAAGTTTTCAGTTTTGGAGATTTTGGTTTTTCGATAAAGCTTTAGTCTAAAATTTTTGATGGGAGAGGAGGAGAAATAACTATTCTACAGGGGTTGCAAGAACAAGGCTCCTTCAGCCAACTTTGGATCAGGGCAGGAGAGACTGAGGTCAGCTTTCCCGTTTTGTCCCCATTTTACAGACAGAGAGACTGAGGCACAAAGAGGGCCGGAACTGAAGAAGAGCACCGGACAGAGCTGGGAGTAGATTCCAGGAGTCCTTGTTCCCAGTGTCATCTGCTCTAACCACTCAACCTCACTCCCCTCCCAACAGCCAGGCACAGAATCCAGGAGCCCTGACTTCCAGCTCCATGACTTCAGCCGCATGACTAAATTCCCTCTCCCCCTTCACGATTACCTGTTTTTAGAACATTGGTCCCTTGAGCTCATGCCTAAAAAGATTACTGGGTTGGGGTCTCTTAACCCCGGTAACCTAACTCCACTCACCTCCCCCAATACCCCGACTGAGTTTGTAGGACGTGTCCTCCTAGTGCCTGGCCCCAGCCGTGGGTTTGGCCCTGTCTCTCTTGTATAACGAAGGAGACCAAAGTGGAGTCGCTACAGTGAAATTCCCCTCTGGGCATCTGATGCCCAGGGACACGTTCTCCCCTACCTGAATCACCCGGGGACCAGCAGAGAGACTTAACCACTAGACGCACCTGGTACCCCGAGGCTTTGACGGTCGGGTTGTTCTCGATCTCCCACAAGCCTTCGCTGAACCCTTTCCGCTTGTTGGGCTTGCCAAACTTCTCCTTGCACTCTTCATAGGGGAAGAGGTCTTTGGGACCCAGGAACGCCCTGCGCGGTGGAAATGGGAAGCAGCCTTAAAGACAGCACACCATGCGGTCTACGGTGCCCCCCAGCTGTGGACCGCAAGCATTCCAGCCGCCAAGCTTCCCTCCCAGGGAAACTGAGGCCCCAAGCGTGGCAGTAACTTGGGGTTTTCTAAGGCAGGTGAGCGAGAGCGGCATCCAACTCCCACCAAAAGTTAGCCGGGCCCCGAGGAGCTTTGTAAATCCCTGCTGTGATTTCCCAGACTTGCCTTATCAAAGATTTTTGTCAATGAATTCATACTGGGGGCTAGTAAACGTCCAGCCTCGGATGGAGCTGGGAAAGTCTGTTCTGGGGTGGAAGCAAACAGGCACAGCCTGGTCGGGGGGACAGTAACGTTTTTAGTATTATTATTTGCACTGTAGTAGCTCCTAGGAGCCTTAGTCGTGGTGCAAGGTGCTGTACAAACACACGGCTCCTGCCCCAAGGAGCTTACAATGGGAGTACCCTGGTTTATTACGTTCATCTTATTTTTAGGGCTAGTCTGTCAGAGGAGGGGCCAGCTCTGGTTTCCACACAGGAAAGGGGATCCGCCACCAAAGACTGTATGCTAGGACTCCCCTTTTGTCTTCCCCCCCGCCCATTCCTCATCACCATCTCCCCTCCGCCCCAAGTGCAACTGACAAGGATGAAGGCTGTCCCGCTCATGTCCCAGCTGAGATCTGAAACCAAGACCCCATCCTCAGCCACCTGGTCCGTCTGTCTGACTGCTGCTCCCATGATTCGGACAGACCTTCTCCTCCCCTGTTGCTCCCCCAACACACACACTCCCTCCCCTCACATACATGGGTGCTCCCTCCTTCCCCTTTTTCAATCCCACTCACGTTTCATGGGTCCCGAAGAAGAAGACTTGGTATTTATTGGAGGCGGATTTGACGGCAGCTTCTGGCATCTCGTCGATCTGTTCAGGGGACACAAATTGCGGGGTGAGAAACAGAGCGCGAACAGCCCTGAGCCAAAGCCACGCTCGGCGGCTGCAGCTCACTCCTGCGACAGCGGTCACCCAAAAGCTATGTGCGTGCAAAATTCAAGCACGTTGGGTTTAGCTAACAGAACACCCCAATCTTTACAGACGGGCCCAACGCTGCTCAGAGATGATTGAGAAGACAGACCAGGAGGTTCAGTGACCTTCGATCTCCAACGTTCTCAGGAAAGACGACGGACATATATGGAACACTTGTTAAAAGGCCAATCAGAAGCAACCCTCTGTCCTTCAGAGAGGGTCAGTGTCTGAGATGTAACAACCTAGATCTTAGGGATGTAAAATCCCATTTCAAATGTTATCCAGTTAAGCTATCTGTGTAACTGGCCGGGCTGCTCCAGCCGGGCTGGGTGCTGGTTAACCAGTAATCAGTAAGCAACACCCGGTAAAGATGATGCTTACTGGAAAACTGGTTACATCCCTACTAGAGCTGCTGTGTTTGTCCAGCACCTAGCATCAGCAGATCTCAAAGCAGTTCACAAAGGAAATCAGCGCCGTTATCCCCCTTTTACAGAGGGGGAAACTGAGGCACGGAGCCGGACTTGCCCAAGGTCACCCAGCAGGCAGAGCGGCCCGGGATAGGCAGGTACATGCAGCCTTGGGGAGGCATTAAGTGTCATCTCATGGCATGGGCTGGTTTCCAGTTCCTTGGAAATGAATCATTTACTGACAGATACACACACAAACACACACGCAAGAAAAAAAAGCAAAGCGCTTGCTTAAGATGTAGCCTCCAAGTAACTGCAGGGCCAGAGGAGGAACAAAGCCATTGATCTGCAAATTAAGGGGGGGGAAATCTTAACCTAACACTCGCCGTGAATATTATTTTGCATGCCAAGAGCACCAGTCTGGCCTCGGTCGCGCACAGAACAGGCCCTCGGCAGAGATAAGGACCAGACATGGCTCCTGCCCAGAGAGCTCACCATCTGGACAAAGGAAGGATTTATTACTTTCATGTCACTGAAGGGAAACTGAGGCACAGGCAAGCACTAGGGACTGAAGCCAGCTCTCCACGCTTTCTCCCAGAGGACTCTCAGCCAGGCTTCCTCCGCCTTGTGTGAAGGGGGATTTTAAATCTTGAGGCCTGGGCTAGCCACACCAGCCCTCCCAGAAGGGACCGTCCCGCCTGCAGCTAGCGTTCTTTGCATGCACGTTTCGCAGGCGGGCTGCC